TTTGCCCTATGCCAAGATTGTGGTGGACGGCACACCCATCAGTTATGATTCAGCACACAAGCTTCTGGAGGGAAATACAGCATAGGAGACCGTGGATTTCCCAGAAGCAACACGTAACACAGCATCACAATCACCTCACCATATTTTACCCCATGCACCAGTCTTCATACCTCGCACCTATCGTGCCCAACCCCGCTCAACAGCAGCCACGACCGTGTTCTCACTCAATCCCCATGCACCAGTTTTTATACCTCGCACCTATCGTGCCCAACAGCAAAAAGCATGCCGAATATGTATTGTCAACTGTTGTAGTCTCCTGAGAAAACAAGCCGAAGTATTGAACCTATTGACACAAGAGTCTCTGGATATTCTTTGTCTAACAGAAACGTGGCTAAATCCCACCATTCCTGATAATGTTGTAACCATACCAGTTTATAAACTATACCGAAAGGACAGAAGCAGTACATCCCTACCATGGTCACAGCTTGGTGGGGGTGGCGTAGCAATCTATGTTAAGGACCACTTGAGCTGCGATTTTCACCCAGAATTTACGTACGGTAGCTGCGAAATGATGACTGTTGAGATCAAGCATCCAAGTCTTCTTATCTGTTTGGTACCGGCCCCCAAGACAACCTATAAGTTCTTTAATATCTACGTTCGATCAGCTCTCCGATCTGTTTGACCAACACAATAGCGTAATTGTAGGCGATTTCAATGCCAAGAACCGAGCCTGGAACTGGAAAGACACTGACACCACAGACTGCAATGGTAGGGCTCTGCAGTCGGTTTTCGTGAAGTTCGATTTCAATGTGATGAATGAAGGGACTGGTACACGACCTAATCTTAGAAGCGGTCAAAACCCGTTGCTTGACATCATGGCAACCAACATACCAGACATTATCAACTCTACACACACACTTGAGCCCTTATCTGATCATTGTCCTGTCATTGCCTCGCTATCTCTCTGCACACCAACCCAGCGTCGAGGTTGTCGACTACGCAGAACGGATTTCGCCAGACTGCGCATTCTAATAGAACAGGAACCGTTTCCTGAGTGCGTAATGGGGACTGAACTTGTGGATTCAGCTTGGAAAGCGTGGGAATCTCATTTTCAGAATCTAGTAGACAGATCTTCTATCTGGACCAGTCAACAGGAGCGTCGAAAGCAGAGCTGGTACACGCCAAATCTACACAAACTGAAGCGGAGACAGAATGTACTGTACCGTGCCTACCTGCGCAACCCTCAGTGTATTGAGGCGAAAGCAGCTTATTGCTTATTGCGGAACTTTTACAGAAAGAAGCTTCGAGCGGCCAGACACGCTTTCCTTGACCGTGAGGCTGCTAGTATATCAAAGAATTGCAGTAAGGGCGGATATGTATGGTGGAAAAGGGCCAAGCAGTTTTGTAACATTGCTGGCAGCAAGTCGTCAGTCCCTGATCTTACAGATGGTGACGCCAGCGCCACCACTGAGCATGAAAAATGCGATCTTCTTGCTCAACATGTTGCAGCCCAGTGTTCAATGCCACCAGTAGTGAATGGACAACCCTCTCAAGCGCCATCATTAAGTGCTTGCACCACCGTGTACAGCATTTCTAAATTTAGTCCTGGTCAAGTCCATTACGACCTAACACACCTATCCCCCGAAAATCCACCTCAGCAAATCACATGATACCGATACTACGCTCAATGGCAGATTTATTGTGTGAATCCCTCTCATTCCTGTTTAACTTGAGCATATCTACTTCGTGCTTCCCCAATTCCTGGAAATCGGCCTCTGTTACCCCATTATATAAAGGAAGTGCCTCTTCACCAACAAATTATCGTCCTATTTCACTGCTGCATCCCGTGAGTCGTCTTTTCGAATACCGGATAGCACTGAGTCTCAGCAGTTTCCTGCATCGCAACAAATTAATATCACCGTCCCAATTTGCATATGTTCCACAGCGATCAGCAACGGACCAACTTATCCTGCTTACTCACCAGATGGCTTGTGTCTCGGACAAACACAACAGATATGATTGTGCATTTCTTGACTTCAGGAAAGCCTTCGATAAGGTTCATCATCTAACACTGATTGAGAGGCTGAGTACTTTTATGACTCGAAACTCAGTGAAATGGTTTGAATGCTACCTCAATCAGAGAACGATAGCTGTCAAGATTAAGGAGACGATCTCTCCCCAATATCCTTTGAATTGTGGTGTTTCTCAAGGCTCACATCTTGCACCCCTGCTGTTTTTAACCTACATCAATACCCTTCCCGACACATTGACCCACAGCGCCCCTTATCTATTTGCTGATGATGTTACACTGCTCAACACTCATAACATCGGTTTACCTGTTGATGAGAATCTGGCCAACTTCCAGTTGGATTTAACAAGCTGCCAGCGCTGGGCTAGAGGCATTCACGGGGAGTTTTCTGCGGCCAAGACCACCATGTTCTCCAACTATGCTCCTCCACCCTCTTCGTCTGTCCAAATGGACAACGTATCACTCAATGTTAAAAGTTCCGTAATCCATCTAGGCGTAGAGATCAGCACTAATCTTAAATTCCAAGACCATTTCACTACTGTGTTCAAAAAGTTTCGCCAACGTGTAAATTTGTTATGCTTTACGGGCCGTCATCTATCGAATGCACATATTGCCCTACTCTACAAGTCATATGTACGACCCACAGTAGAGTACGCTATCCCTGTCTGGTGCTTCAGACTTACTGCTAGCCAGCTAGAATTGCTTGACATTTTACAAGCAAAGATCTGCAGATGCCTGCGGTCTGCGAAGATTGATTTTGATCGCTATGAATCGAAGAATAATTTAAATAGGCTGTGTAATTTGGAATCCCTTCACTTCCGACGCACTTACATTTCCATCACCGTTTTGTTCAAGTATATCCATTGGCACCCAGATTATCTATCCCGCTTTGACATCAATATCTCTTCTAGCGCACGCCGACCAAACAAACTGATTTTCAATTCCCATGGCCGCATCTCTTCCTCTCTCTTTTTGCATAAAATCGGACGGCTGTGGAACTGCCTTCCACCAAGGCTGACATCCCAATATTCACTTTCTAAATTTCAGCAGCAATATCGCTTGCACGTGAAAAGGTTTAAATTTGACTGTAGTGGTATATCCCTGGACATTTAAACTAATTGTTTTATTTTGAACAACCCAGCCCTGTCTTCATTGCTCATTATGTAGCATATACTGTAACAGGTGTAGTTTTCCTCACTGTTTATTTCTATTGCATGATTTGCATCAGGAGATCCCCTCGACAGGCCATCGCCTCTGGGAGATTCTTTTTAATAATAAAGATTAATTTTATATTTTATAAAAAACAACAACTTACCGGAAAGCAAATGACTCGAGCATCGCACGGACCAGATGCTCACGACGAGTGTCGGGTTTGATACCCAGAACGGAGCAGCATGCAGTCGGGTCATTGATTGGTGCCTGGGAACAGAGACATCGGACACTCAAGTTGCGACTCAACCCATTCGCATGGTAGGTCACACGGGGTATCACCTGACAACTTGGTACATGCACAAGCTTTCGTCGGTTGTTCCTAGCTAAAAGTGTGAGCGGGGTTTGTTATTATTGTAGACTCTGTTGCGAATTGAACCCCTTCAGTCAAGAATAGCGAGGGATCGGCTCACTACAAGCGACATGGCCAGCCTACATCTAGCTAACTGTATTCACACCGTGCATGGGCACTTCTTACCTCTAAGCCAGCAATGGCTGGAACGAAGCAAACGCCACCTGAATCTGCATAGGTCACAACACACACGCAGAAGTGCCCATGATAAATACAGTAAAATATATCACCACCGGACAGGATTTCATACACACACATACACACAGACACATACACACACACACATACACACACACACACACACACACACACACACACACACACGCACGCACGCACGCACACACATACCTTCAACAGACTCCGCCATGCGCGATGTATCTGCAACATTCTCGAACCAACCTGCATGCATAGAGAGAATGAATACCAACTATGGCAGGGTGTTGATGGAGCAAAGGAAGCATGCATACTAGTAACTGCCCATTGTTGTGAAAGATGTTTGGCAAGGTGATGGTCTTCATAAAATCAGTGACACCAAGAGGTTTTATGTACTCTTGGTGACACTGATGGCTGTCCTCACCATGACTGTGCCTTGTGAAAATCATTCAGCACACAGCATTGCGAAAAACACTCATCTTGGCGTTTATCTCTTTCCCTCAAACCAATCAATATTTTATGACTTGGGGCTCCCCGCGTGCTAGTTTGTACGTGAAGTGTGTGGGTTACAGTGAGGGCTGCGTCCCACCCGCCTGTGTGGATTCACAGGAAGTGTGAGTTACGAAGTCTGAAGAGAATGTTGAACGGCCTCTGCTGGGATGACGACTACACCATAGCTCAGTGGTTAGAGCATCGCTGGCTACAAGCGAGGGTCCCTGGTTCGAGTCCTGGTGGTGACAGTCAATTTTTCTTCAGACTTTTCCCGTTTATCTCTTTCCCTCAAACCAATCAATACTTGTCATGAAACAGTGTGCTTTCGGAACATGGAGAAAGAGAATGGAGTGGGTTTGAGTGCACATCAGTTTGCAGTAACCCACCCTACAGCTGAGCTCTCAAACCAAAAAGTGCTGAAGTAGCCTGTTGTTGCTATCCATTGATTCAGCCGATCACATCTAGGCCTTACCGACTTTGCTTGCCCACTCCACACAATGCCCTGTGCTGATTGCCACGCCTTCAGCCATGAACGACACCTCTCCATTAATTTGCCACGCCACCATGGGATAGATACCTGCAAGAGCAGCAGAGAGACATGCCATTACATTGTACACACTGTGATGGCAAAACTGGACGAGAACATCAGCATGTCATTGTACACAGCATGATGGCAAAGCTGGATTATAATCATCACCAGCATAGCCCGAGTGCAAATATCACGGCGCACGTAGAAGAAGCCAGTCAAAGTCGTTGGAAAATGGAAAACGCATTTCTTCAGATATACGGATAAGCCCGTGTATGCGCGTGCATACAGCATGTATGTGTATGCGCGTGCACACAGCATGCATTTTGCTGTATCTATGGGCTTTGATGTTGGGAGAATTGCGCTTTCGTACTTTCCAGTTGCCATAAGCACAACAAAATACACAGGTCACCCCTGTTGTTCTGCCTTGTCAAATCACCCCTATATAAATACTATTTCAGGGATCTGTGCATACTGGAGAACAACTTAGAACCTCATCGGCTCAGTGATGCTTCTTCTCCTTCCATGTCCACCAGCTTTCGGGGAGCATGTGTAGGCTGATGTCAGCTTCTTTCCATATCATACTGGGTACATATGCTCTGCGTACAGTACATATAATGTATGTACAGCATACTTCGAAGTACAAGCAAGCAAAGCAACAGGGGGCTGGTGAACTTGACACGGGCACGATGCAGTCAACAGCTAGCTACCTGATGGAGATGCATGCGGAGTAACGGTGCGGACATCCAGAAAGGAACCGGAGCCTAGCGTAAGCTTCAGCTCCCTATCTTCCCAGCATGCCTGCCCAAAGAGAGAAGATTGCTGATCTGCAGCCTGGATAATAAGGAGAAAATCAATTCAAGAAGACAGTGTGGCTAAAGAGTAACATGCTCATCCTGAGCCAAACGAGGAACAGAGAGAGAGAGAGAGAGAGAGAGAGAGAGAGAGAGAGAGAGAGAGAGAGAGAGAGAGAGAGAGAGAGAGAGAGAGAGAGAGAGAGAGAGAGAGAGAGAGAGAGAGAGAGAGACATTAACAGGCTTCTAAGCTAATCTACTCTAGTGACAAGCAGCCACACTGCGTGTACAGACTACTAAACTACCTACAGTGGCGGTAAGTGAAGTCCAGCAGCCTGGTGACTACAGCCTGGTGACTACAGCCTGGTGACTATAGCCTGGTGACTACAGCCTGGTGACTACAGCCTGGTGACTACAGCCTGGTGACTACAGCCTGGTGACTACAGCCTGGTGACTACAGCCTGGTGACTACAGCAGAGCCACGTTCCCTGCATAGGTCCGTGTTTAAAAAAGTGTTAGTGCGGCTCAGTCCCGGGGCTGTTACATTCATGAGGTTGGGTTTCACTAGCCGCCACCGCACATGCATGCATGTACCTGCTGCCATGTGCACTTCGCGCACTCCTTGTCATGACAAAGAATAGGGACTTACAACGGCATGAACTTCAATGGGTCCGCCGAAAATCTCATCCTCACTGGTGCAGATGTGCGTGCTGCATGCAAGCAGTGAAAGACAAACACAAGAAATCAACAATGAGAGCATTGACACAATTTAAAAAGCCATCACCAGTCGTGTCAGTAATATAGACAGTGAAACAAAGGATGAAACAACAGACCATAACATTGGACGTTCGTACAGAAAAGTTGCAGCAGTACCTGCCACAGTAGACACCTCTCAACAACAGATACCTCCGTATTCAGGACACATTCATTCCTCCAGTCTAAACAGTTGTAATAAAATTTCATACGGCAGGCCAGTGTACCAAATAATTATATGAAATTTAAAATTCAAAGCGCACGTGAAATTGCCCGGATTTGCAGTATAGTACATGTTCTGTGTTCAACATAGTCTAGCATACAGAGCTGAGTACTAGTCTAGTATCCACTACAGTATATTTACTATTTACCTAGTGTCAACAATTACTGGTAATGAGTTCAATGGAATGTTCATCAACTTGCACACCGTCGAGCTCCAGCTAGTCGTGTATGCATCGTAAATAGCCGTTGCACTGGCGTTGGAGGCGTCGGTCGCATGAACCTTCCCTGGAAAACAAGCGGCACCGGCAAAGTACAACTGGTGTTGAGAGGGGAAATGGCCATGCTTTGCCTACTGGTACTGACAGAGGTAAGTGGTGGAAGAATGCCCCCCCTCCCCCCCCCCCCCCCCCCCACCCTCTCCCTACTCCACATCCCCAATGTAGGTGCATCTCTCGCTCAGATCTTTTAGGTTGATATGTGCAACAAAACCAAGTAAACCAATGCATCCTGCGTTGGTGCAAAGTTCACAGCTTTACACTACAGTAAAACCTGTCAAGGCGACCAATCAGATAAGGCGACCTCCTGTCCTAGAAGACCACTGAAACCAGCACCAAGAGATGCTATTTCCAGTCAAATGACCCTGGATAAGGAGACCACCTGGTAGCAGAGACCACGTTTTGAAGGTCCCATGAGCGGTCGTCTTAGACAGGTTCCACTGTATACAGTACACACCATGCATACTAGTATATTGGGTCAGCCCCACCCAATGCCAGTCCACAGCCAGTCCAACATATGTGGCACCCGAATAGTTGGAAAATGGAGTCTTTTCTCAATCATGGCCTACTTGTAGGCCCAAACCCTGTGCCTGTCTGTAGGTTAATATGCAGCACACAATTAGCACTAAGGCACAGCAGAGCCAGGGCTCACCTCCAGAGAGTCTCCAAAGCAGAAAAGTATCTAGGGTACCGAACATCAATTGTCCCGCATCGGCCAATTCTCTCGCCTGTGTGCAAATCGAATCAGAGCACACAAAGTCACAAGCACATGTCACATTAAGTATATTACAGGCAACTAGCCGACCTGAAACTGACGGATATGGCTTGGACAGAGGGAAAGTGTGGTGTTTGATTTTCCGCAATGCGCGGACTGCAGCTGAATGGTGTAATGAAGGCAGCACGCTGCGCATCTGGCCCATAGAAAAGAGATCACAGCTGCATACCTTGTTTATGGACTCTTGAGGGCACAAATAAAACTGTACAATAGTACAGTGCGATGTACGTTATACTCGATACTGGAGCACCCCCCCCCCCCCCCCTCACACACACACACACACACACACACACACACGTGCACATACACAGAAGGCAGCAAGTTTCAGTACACTGCATATATCAGCACACGATCTGAAATCTTACCCGGGGAATATTATCCAGTACCCACTGGGCTCGGATGCACATCTGCACAGTACACAGGCATCATAAACGCATACACAGTCAGAAATGGAAAATCAATAATTACATCACGCCATTTGCACAAAAATCACTGTTCGTGTGAGACTCAATTAGGATATGACACCTGCTCTCCAGAAAAGCTGATGTCAACAAAAACTCCGCCATGGGCCAAACAAAGTGGAGTTGCCCGCACTTGTTTATGCATTGCACTTCACGGTACTTTACGATAGGTATGTGTGATTCATTTACTTCGAAGTACTTGAAGAAAAAGCCTAGAACAATGTAGAAGCGCCTCAACAGAGGACACCAAGCACAATACGCCACATGAATCAATGCCGATTAACTTAGAACAGGAAAGATCACGGCTTCGTTCTATAACAATGAACAAAAAGTAGGACGTGACTGCGACACTCGCTGTCGCTTTTGGTGGGAGCATCCTAAAGTCAGACTTACATGGAGACTCTTGAACTCGATAACAGACATAGCCAAAAAGCGACGAATCCTGGTGACGGTATAGATAGCCCGGGACGCCTTGGAAATCGCCTGCGCAGAGATAGAAAAGACAAAAAAAAGTATACATAGACGCCAATGTTCTTCTCTTAAATTCCAATACGTGCAAAAGGACTCGGTCACACTACGTCAGAAATGCTGCGTTAGCGTCCGAATAAGAGTACATATACATGAAGCAGAGTGTGCAGTTCGGAATGGGCTGCCGTCACGCTGAAATTCCTGGAATACATTATTTTAGTGGTGTAATGCGAGCGAGTAGAATTCAAGCAGATCTCCTGCTGCACAACTGCAGCTCAGGTGTATGCCCTACGCCACTTCTCGCCGCTTATCTGCATCAACTATGATGTCATCCAGGAATTTCGCAGTGACAGACACCTATGCAGAAAAATCAAAAGCTGCTCACTCTGGGTTTCATGTACTCATGGCCTGAATCATGACTTTTCCATGGCAACAGACAAATGGCGGGGGTATTGGGCGTCAGACGCAGTAGCGGCAGGCATAGTTGCGTCTGCCGCAGGCAAATCGGTTGAGTTTAATCTGCCGCTGGTAATGAATGCCAGAAAGGTCTTTGCAGTCTGCACATAGCGTACCGCAGCGATTCGGGTCGAAACTGAGTAGTTTTGTGAAGTGTGTCAGGCCACGGCAATCACGAGCAGCAAAATGCACAAATACAGCGTGACCACCACCCCACGTAAGCGTCAAGTGCTCAAGTTTGACGCTGCGTCCAGGGTCAAACAACCAATCACTTACCTTGAACATGAGGCTGTTGTTCCAAGACTTGGCCAAGGGTGCAGAGCGTGTATCCTGCCAGGAGATGAATGGATGCACAATCTCCCCTGTCTCCCTGCACGTAACAATGCACAAAGCAACATGATGATCACCCTTGAAGGCTGGCTATTCCCATATGCCGGGTGAGAGGATCACCAGTGGTTGACACAACACCTCACCCATCACATCTATTAACTAGCAGCCACTATCAATTGACCTCTGTGTCTTATCAGCCAAGCCCACCTGAACAGTTCCTGATTCACACGACTCACTCCTGGTCAGGTACACTTTGATCTTAGTCATTCGAACGCCAGGAAAGCATTAGCTGATCCGGAGATTATACCAGTAACTAGTGTGTAAGGCCTAGCTGTTCTTCTCTGTGAATCTGCAAATTTGTATACAGGCGGAACCCTGATAATTCGAACCCAAAAATGCTGGGGAAAAACTTCTAATTTAATATCTGGGCACTGTAATTATTCTAGCATGTACCCACAACACATCATAGAGATGCAAGATGAGATGAGATGAGATAGGCTAGTTACCTATCCCAGGATGTGAAAGTTCCTCTCGCCAAGCTGATGCCAAGAGAAGATACCTGGCTTGCTGTAATTTTAGCAGCTGAATACAGACAACACATACACACACACACACACACACACACACACAACACACACACACACACACACACGTGCGCGCATGCACACACACACACACACTTTGTCGTGTAAAGGTCGTACAATGTGAACCCTGGAGTTACAATTCATCTACCGTACTTATTTTCTCAATGCCAGTTTCGAGGAGGCTTTTATTCAAGAGGGGCCTTTATTATTTCATTCCATACCAGTATTCAAATCGAATCTCTAAAATTTTCATATTCAAAGCTACTTGGCCTCGAGTTAGTTCGCACACACTACGTCGATCAGGACATGTACCGGTATGTGCATGCACGAGACGTTTTGTACACCCTTGACTTTACATAACATGGCACTACCTGGTCACTACTTGCTTCGCGAATAGTAGTCCGGGCTTCTATTCGAGAGGGGCTTGTGTTTTTTCAAATGGTGACTATAGGGGGGCATTATTCAAGAGGGGCTTCTATTCGAGAGGGGCTTCTAATCGAGTGAGTACGGTATATGTACCGTAAAGAACCGCGAGAGCGCCCCACCATCTCGTCCTTTTGTGGTTGTATCGTGGAGGGAGTGTCCTGTCTGTAGGTCCTACGATACGAATCTTGTGCAGTCCATCCGTACTCGATTTATCTTCGTGCGGACACGAGCTCCACACAAAAACCTGCTGCGTGTGGCCTTAGAACACTAGAGTTCTCACACCGTCCAAACTTCGTCGCACTCTGCCATACGATTTTCCTTTCCCTGGCTATAAAATCAAGGTGGGGCGCTCTCGGGAGATGGGGCGCTCTCGGGGTACTTTACGGTACTTACATGTGGGGTACAGCATACTCTGTGGTGTTTTACACTGCCCAGCACCAGTCTGACCAGTATAATAACGTCACTATTGACCTGCACCACAATGACAAGTACATGCACTACACTGACTAGTGCCTGGCTAACCAGCCCATACTACTACACTGGCGAATGGCTTTCTGCAGCTTCTGCGGACGGCGGATTGGTTTTCCATTGCGTGTATTCATCACATTCCGTGACAGAGCGTGATATCAAGAGTACTACATGTATTACTACATCAGGGATTGTAAGAGCTGTGGCTGGTAAACAGCAGACTACTAGTATCCGGTGTATGCATAGACCACTACTTGTCAAACTATTACCAAGGCTGCCACAGCCGTCACAGCCGGGGCGGCCGATTTTTTGGAGAACACTGCAACAAAGCGCGACGATTGCAGCTTAGCGCAAACGTGGCGAATAATGAAGGATCCTTGTCCCCGATCGTAGCGTCTTTTTGGTTTATAGCAGAATCGAAAAGTCTTTCACTGTAGTTACGCTGAAATGGCACCAAATGCCCGGAAACGCTTGCAATCGGCTTCAATTGTTGAACTTTTCTCACGGGAGGACCCTGGACCCCCACATCCCTTTTGTGGCCGACGCACCTCCAAAGGCCGTGCGATGGGCCTGATTACTTACTTTCCATAGCTTCCTTGATGATGGTGACAAACCGTTCTCAAATGCCCGGAAACGCTTGCAATCGGCTTCAATTGTTGAACTTTTCTCACGGGAGGACCCTGGACCCCCACATCCCTTTTGTGGCCGACGCACCTCCAAAGGCCGTGCGATGGGCCTGATTACTTACTTTCCATAGCTTCCTTGATGATGGTGACAAACCGTTCTCAAATGCCCGGAAACGCTTGCAATTGGCTTCAATTGTTGAACTTTTCTCATGGGAGGACCCCGGACCCCCACATCCCTTTCGTGGCCGACGCACCTCCAAAGGCCGTGCGATGGGCCTGATTACTTACTTTCCATAGCTTCCTTGATGATGGTGACAAACCGTTCCCAAATCAGCTCTGGATCCAGCTCGACATGGCCCTGCTGGGGACGCGTGTACTCCATCTGAAATCCACATCAGAAAGCACATAACGCCCACAAAGGATGGACATGTAGCCAGTGTGCTGAGAGTACTCAACGCCATGGGGGGGGGGGGGGGGAGCAGAGCAATAGAGCACAGTGCACAGTATAACAGTGGGGAACAAGGTTGTGTTGTTGCAACGTGTTACTCTAGCCTCAGACATTTTAGGTGCTCAATATTTTCGGTATGAGGGGAAAAGGCCAGGTTAGGTGAACAGAAATTTTAGGTACAGAGAAGCTGTTCCCTATTGGATTATGTGTGTTAGTGTTTGTTCGGTGTATTGAAATTTAGGTATGAAACAGACGCACCGAAAGGATCGAAAATAAAAGTACACCGAAGATTTGTGAAATTACAGTACTGGCTCATAATGTAATCATCACGCACCAGGGTGGATGGTGTTAACCATGACGGTATACATATGTACGTGCAAGGAAACATACGGTGCTAAGAGTGGGGATGTTGAGATGCTAAGTGCAGTGCTATGCTCTGGGTGTTAGCAAGAGTACATAACCCTCAGGAGTGTGCAACTGCCTGCACAACCTCTATGCAGTGCTGCGACGGCAGAACTTCACATCACGTGACATGGTTCAAAAGGTAACACTGGCAAACAGTGCAAAGTGACCACAAGAGAGTTGTACCCAAAGCTGGGTTGCGTACAACCCTGTATCAATCATGCACAGAGTGCACATAATGTGTACGGGTTCATCACGTGATGTGAAGTTCTGCCGTCGCAGACCCCATAGCTGGAGTTGCACACTCTTGGTGTTAGGCCACCCTTTCTTTTTTCGTTGTTTAACGTCCGCGCCCGCGTACCTTTTTGCCTCCGACCGGAAAAAAAAACAAGAAAGTAGTAGTACCAATAATATGCGAAGTTGTAAATACATGATTGTGTAGTTTCACAGTGTGCCGATCATGACCTTAAACTTACAGTATAATCTTGGCTCCCGGGCATTAGGCCTTGGCGGATAATGCTCGAAAAGGTGGCAGATTCTGCTTTTTTTGCACCGAAATTGGCAGAACCATACAAACCTTATGGCGGGCAATTCCTCGAATTCTGCTCCATTTCTTTATCCACATACCAAACATGCATGAAACTTACCAGAAAAAGTACCGAATTCTGCCAATTTTTCTGCCGGCATTATCCGCCAAGGCCTACCGGGCATGCCTTTGTCTTGTGTTCTTTTTCTTTTTTTGTTGGCTTTTAAATATCGTACGGTGTGTGTCCTAGTAAAAAACCAGATGATTGTAATGAATTCATGACATGCTAACTCCATGCTATGTACCTGTTTTGTTGGATTCATCAGGCATGTGCTCCAATGTACCATCAAAGAGTGTTGTTCTATGCCTGCAAGTGCCGTTAGACCCAGAAATATTGTATATATCACATGCTTTACTGGTCAAAATGTTTGATTGGGGTTTCCAGTTTTTGGAATGGGCTTTTGTTTTTTTTCCGCCCTCCCGCGTACCTTTTCGCGAAAAAAAGGACGTTAAACAATGAATTAACAAAGGGTGGCCTTAGGTTGTCATGGTATATTTCTGTGCCAAATATTGACTGAGGTAGGACAATCTGTGTGTGTGTGTGTGTGTGTGGACGGGGGGGGGGAGTTGTACAGTGTATGTGGCATGTCCAGTGATGCGATCGAGACGCTGGGTTGATACGGTTGGTTATCTGATGCCATGGTGGCTCAGGTGGTACGTGTTCTAATAATTATAAGATACTAGTAAGCAAAGTTGGCATTCGAGCCCAGCAACCGCTATACATTCTACATTCGCATACTGTAATACATGTATGTGTGGGTGGGGAGGAGTTGGGGGTTGGGCCGCATCAGCTTTCCTCTTGTATGCGATCGAATGCTCAAAGATATTTTGACTGTCCAGAGACGTGACACATCAACGAGAGTGTGCTCTTCCTCTCTCTCTCTCTCTCTCCCTCTCTCTCTCCCGCTCTCTCTCTCTCTCTCTCTCTCTCTCTCTCTCTCTCTCTCTCTCTCTCTCTCTCTCTCTCTCTCTCTCTCTCTGTCTGTCTGTCTGTCTGTCTGTCTGTCTGTCTGTCTGTCTCTGTCTCTGTCTGTCTCTATCTCTGTCTCTATCTCTGTCTCTCTGTCTCTCTATCTCTGTCTGTCTGTCTGTCTGTCTGTCTGTCTGTCTGTCTGTCTCCCTCCCTCCCTCTCTCTCTCTCTCTCTCTCTCTCTCTCTCTCTCTCTCTCTCTCTCTCTCTCTCTCTCTCTCTCTCTCTCTCTCTCTCTCTCTCTCTCTCTCTCTCTCTCTCTCTCTCTCTCTTCCTCCTCCTCCTCCCACAACAGAACCATGGGACCGCTATGCATATATGGCAGGGGGTTGACAGGACAGGTTTGTGTGTGTGTGTGTGTGCATGTGTGCGCATGTGTGTGTGCGCATGTGTGTGTGCATGTGTGCGTGTGTGCATGTGTGCGTGTGTGCGTGTTTGTGTGTGTGTTGTGTGTGTGTGTGTGTGTGTGTGTGTGTGTGTGTGTGTGTGTGTGTGTGTGTGTGTGTGTGTGTGTGTGTGTGTGTGTGTGTGTGTGTGTGTGTGTGTGTGTGTGTGTGTGGTTGTGGTGTGTGTGTGTTTGCACACCTGTGCAGTGTGTACACCTGTGATGTAAATCATGTAAACTCATAGCATTCATGGTACTCACCGGCTGAGCAGCTTTGCCAACAAACTTCAGGTCTTTGTCGATGACAAAACATCTCATGCTTGTGCTGCCAATGTCGACACTAAGCACATACTTGCGTTCTCCATTGTCCAAGATGGAGTCAGCTGACTTGGAAGCCATCTGATTGGCATAGAGAGAGAGCAGACAGCAGCACTTTACTTTACGGCACTATGTTTGCACATTGTTGCATCTGCATCTTAATCCTTGTGGGTGGTGGCGTTCCTACGGATGCAGACAACTTGGTCTAACCGAGTCTCTACACGAACCGTGAAATTTTTGCACATTCCCTTATCCAAACCTACTTGCCTGACATATCTAACAATGATGTCATGGTGTTGAGCAAATGGGTTTGTTTATGGGAACTACTAGTAAGTATACAACGCGAGTCGATGGATTCGCTTATGGGAGCTCAGTACATGTATATCGTGTGAGTCGGCAATTTCGCTTGTGCTAGCAAGCGCTGCATCGCTGTACCGCGTCTTTGTCGCTCCATACAAAGCATCTCAATTGATGATGTCATTGCGTAACCTCTATAGACGGCGGCAGCACGGATGTGTGAGCTTTACATTATGATTTTGAACTCGGATGGTGAGCCAATGTGATCACGGATAAAAGGACTCTGACTGTACATGATCTGGTTACTTTGGTAGACGGTGACTCGTCGGTGAGTCATAAGTCCCAACTCGTATTATTTTTGTACTTCCTTTTAACGCAATAAGTATATATTATGGCATGGTTGGGAGGGCAATAATGGATTTTCAGTTCCCGACAAGTGAGTCTGAGGGCCGTAGGCCCGAGGGCTCACTTGGAGGGCACTGGAAATCCATTATTGCCCGACCAACCATGTCGTAATGGATTTATCATTAGGGACCTTTCGCACCCCGCGTACGGATACGAAACGAATGCTGATTCGTCACCTGGGTTCGAGGATTCGTCAGAGTCCCTGCGGAGAACTCGTTTTCACGAATGGAAGCCTCTTCATTCGTGGCACGCTCCGAATCCGTCAGGTACACATTTATTTGGATAGGTACACATGTTTTGCAAGGTACACATTTTTCCCTTGATTCCATGATCCATGCACGTGTGCGTGTAAAAACCCGTACGCCAAACTACCGGCGCCCGCGGCCGTATTCGTAGTTGCCATGCACATTTGCACGACGACTCGCGAAACCTGAAATCTGTTTTCAACGAAACGATTACGAGCCGAATCAAACTTTCGTTTCGCATTCGTTTCGTAGCAAATGCGAAAGGTCCCTATTTTCAGCCTAACATTACTGAGTACACTAACCTGAAAGAATCAAAACTAAAGGAGAAAGTTGACCTCGTGTGCAGCAACACTTGAAAGGAAAGAAAGGAAAGAAAAAGAAAAGCTGATATCGCCACTTTCGAACACGCGTTCACATGTACACTGCACTGCACAGTACACAGTCACCGTGTTCAAATCCCGTAGATTTCACGCGTCCAGTGTCACTGTCAGGGGTTGTCACGGACGACGGGCTTTGGACGCGGGCGTTGGACTGATTTATTGCCCGCTCATACAGATCAGTGATTGGCCATACCCTAGGCTAGGAAACACTCACGTGACATGTGATAAGTAAAGCAAGTTGCGCATTCAAAACACACGCCATTCGCACACGTTAGATTTCCTTGAACGCTTTCGTTGCCATCTCTTCAGAAGGAATTTGGCAAAGGTAATTAATCGAGTAACACGATATACGAAATAATAGCGCGAGCTCCAGTGTGGTAGCAAACTCATTCCTAACACAATATAAATACTCAAAATGCTGTGAGGTGAAATGATACAAGTGTCAGGGGTGGCAACAAAAACGATCAAGGAAATCTAACCTGTGCGAATGGTGTGTGTCTTGAATGCGCAGTTTGCTTTACTTATTGCGTTGATTTCATTTCAGTCTCCACGAAAACTGTTTTCAAAATTACTTCCTTTTACTTTCTAATTACCGGTACGCACTTTACTACAGGATACTTGTACTTTAAGGAATGGTTTGAATACAAAGTCATACTCTCGGATACACATGCGTGCATTGCCTGCAATGCTGGTTGTGCTAGCGTGTGTATGTTCTTGCCCTGCAGCAATAGCAGTCTTTGAGCTGACCTTCTGGACCTAAACCAACAAAATAATTTAATTGCTCCGTACCTGCCGTTTTCAAGTCAGGTTCGAGTATCTTCGTTAGACCCCCAGTATTTCCACTGCATGCTCAGGAAGTGAAGTCGACGCCGGAGTTCCGGTGAGTCACACAACTTGTGCAACACTTGTATAATTATCAATCTCTGTTGAAGACCACGCCGAGCAGAAATAAACTTACAGGAATCACCTACACTGGGAAGAACGTACAGCAGCTGCCTGCCACGCAGACTACTCAACGACGCAGTCTTGACTCGTCGAGTCTTGGTCCTTGAGTCGAGAGGTTTTTCATTATTTTTAGTCAATGCATTCAATGAATGTTCAAAGAATGCAGACTTTTGATTCGGATTTGAATCATGAATGCAGAAGAGTGACACCAAAAGGCAAAAGACATCACGCATCGCATGTATGTGCACAACCACACAACACTTGGCAGCACGCTAGCACATGGCGTAGCGGGAAAGTCCCATCCATGTACAGTAGACTCCTGATATTACGAACTACATTATTATGTACATGTACATGTAGTTCTTTATAGCCGAGGTTCGTTATACCAAAATGCACCCACACGTACCCGGCATACAACTAATAATTTTTATATACCAAGAGTCCATAAACAGTTTATGCACTCTTGCTAGCCTATTACCAAGAATATAATTATAACCCCCCTCTGGGGTTATGTTATTCCCTTGGCAGTCTTGCTTACTTAAAAGCAGCAAGTCATGACAGTTGAGTGGCAAGCAGGGAGCCCGGCTACACATACCATGGTATGCGTAGGGCTCCCCGGTGGCAACTGCATTCTATTTTCTAAAAGTGGGCCATGACAGTTGGTTTACATGCGGCCCTACCAAGATTTGGTTCGTTATAAACTACACTGTACAAGTAAAACTGTTCGTTATAAAGGGTCAATTTTGGTATGGGTTCAAAGTTCAAACAGGGATATGGACAAGGTTAGGGTTCGCTATTATCACGAAATCCGCTATATGCGAGTTCATTATAAGTGGAGTCGACTGTACATGTATTCGACACATCGGACAGCGCTGTACATGCATACATGCACTGAGTCTGCCCCCCCCCCCCCCCCCCCTGCCCTGCTCGCAACACATCCGTACAACTCAAGGTAGGTAAATCATTATTTTCAAGAATGCAGAACACTAGGTCATGTACTAGTACAATGTACAGTATCGGAAAATGGGAAAGAAGCGGCATCCACAGCTATGCATGTACGTCATACAGTAGTCAGGAGATGGAGAACTGAGGATTATATCGAAAAAGGACTCCGGATTGAGTTGTGCATGTAGAAGTTTTAACTCCAGTCATTTGACTCTAGTCATGAACAGATTGTATAACCAAATTTGAGCACTGCGCTGCAAAAGAGGAAATCCAGCAGTTGTGGAAAGTTAGTTTGCAGCGGAAATGGGCTACAGGAAAAAAAAATAGAGCATTCTTGGTGATAATAGTGTCTAATAATAATTATTGTCTATGCTCCTGAAGAAAATTCTCAGTTCAGCTGGAAAGGACACTGCCAAAAAGTATTTGCCTTGGGGAAAGGAATGATCAAACCGGGGTAACAAGTAATACACACTGTAGTGTCCTGTGCATGATTCAGCGCACCATGGCTCATACGGAGCTGGGAATAAAATTGAACAACCTAAATCAGAATTCAGAATGGCACACATCGACGGGTTCCGTGGCCATCTTTTCGCCAGTCATAGTCACCCATGCCCAGTGGACTCAGTCCTATGTAATAAAGCAGGGTCTATATCTGAAACTATAGCTAGCACACCACCAGTACCAGTACTATACATGTATTCAAGACTGTGGAAGCTGTGACGACCTACTTCGAAGTATACGGCTCCTAAGAATAGCTGGAGCATCTAAGAACCCAGCAGATAACAACTTATTAACAAGACAATGAGTAGATACTAGATGATATAAACCATGTAAAGAGTTTGGGAGACAGAGTACATGTACTTCAAGCGATATGGTACCTACAATCAGGCGCGTGCGCCGGTGCCCTTCAAGGGGGGGGGGGGGATCCAGGGGCGTCCCCCGGGAAAAGTTCCAAAAAATGAAGCAAAATCCTGCATTTTGAGCGAAAAAAGGGGGTTCCGGGCACCCAGGAACCCATACGGGGCACGCGCCTGCCTACAATGCTACATTCAGGCAGCATGTGAGTTATTCTACAATTCCCCTACTGCACTGAGAAGGGAGAAATCAGCGACAAACTCAGCCCTACTAAACTATAAAAAGTAAGAAGCAACTGAGATACATTGTATGCCGAGGGGCAGGCACAATACTCAGAGCCATTGGCTGGGAACTAGAATATTGTGGTGCCAGGCAGCTTTTCTAGCCGGCAAAGGACTTACAGGAACCGTTCCAATCGAGTCCAAGAGTGAGGTCATCGCTGTGTCAAATATCCAGCCGCTGAGCTCACACGTTGGTATCCTTGTACCACTTAAGACTGCGCTGCACAGCACTCTCCCACAAGTCAAACGCAGCAACCAGGCGCGTTTTGTTCTCAGGTTCAGGCACAAACTCGTCCGTAAATGTGACTTTCCCCTGTAGATCTTCTTTAGACTTCCAAAAGCCTAGCAGCACATGCAGAAGAAAAAGAATTTGTATAATCAGTTAGGTGAGGCTTCACCAGTACGATTAGGCTCGCAAATGACTCTTTCATCAATGTACTCGCGCATACATACAGGCTAGTAACAGCTACTTTGAAGTAGGATTACTAGCAGTTTATTGTAACCCCATACACCCCCCCCCCCCCACACACACACACATGCATGAGCACGCATATGAAAGCAGTAGCTAGTACCTGAGCTTAGGCCAGCAAAGAAAGCTGCTCCCAGGGCACTCGTTTCCTTGCAGTCCACTCTCTGTATCCGACATGAGGTCAGGTCAGCGATGGTCTGCAGAAGAAAGTCGTTCCGCGATACACCACCATCCACGCTGTAGCAATGAAGGAAAAAGCATGGAATGTTCGTCAGTAAACACTGGGGCTGTTACAACTCTCTGTCATCTGTCTCTGTCTGGGACCACCCCCATTGCTTATCACTACTAGACTCACTACCTATCACAGAGCCAGAACGCATCGGTCTACATTGTAATGAAGGTCTGACCTCCAGCTCAACTCACAAGACACAACTAGTCTCATTAAGTTCACACATTGCCTGGGGCTTTCATAATGATTAAACATAACAAAATACAACAGGAGAGGAAAGATGTAGACATATGTGCAGTGATGTGTGGTGTGGTACAGGCTGTAAAGTCTCATCGAGGACAGTTGATTTACAGCTAGACCCAGTATAACAATGGGCTGGTCAACGGTGCAGCTACAAGACTAAGTAGCCATGCTACAGTACATTCAGGAAAAGATAATAATCGTGCTTTGGATCGTAAATGAGTGAAAGGTCGACCATTTTCACAAATGTTTTGTTGTGGGGGGGGGGGGGGGGGGCTTTTGGCAGTATGCAACACTCTTCCAATTTTACCATGATTACGTTTTTAAAGGGGAAGTTAAGGCAAAAATCAAAATTTCACCAGTTGTAGTCTTCGGCGTGCTGAGTCGAATGGTCTTGGTCCGAGAAAGCTGAGACGCTCCCTTCCTACTCGAATCCCAATCGAACTCGCGCACTTCCACCGAAACTGGGTGACTGCGCCCTACTAGATGGGGATTTGTATGCAAAATGTCACTAAAAGCGCCATTTCGTTCTTATAAAAGCACGGATGACCGCGATTGGCCCATATGTTGTAGTCTTTTGGACGCCGAGTCGACTGGTTTTGGTCCGAAAAGGCTGCGATGCAGCGTTCCTCCTTTATTCCCAATCGAACATGGTTGAACAAGCGGTCACGTGCTCCTCGTACAGCAGTCACCTGGTCACCGTGCCTGCAGGGTACAACTTACTAGCCTGTTTGACCTTTTTTGGGTGCAGTCCTGTCACTCAAGTTGAACTCGAGTTGAACCTTGGTGTGAAAGTTGTCGCCTGCTGGCATGGTGACCAGGTGATTTGGGCACCCAGGAGCACGTGACCGCTTGTTCAACCATGTTCGATTGGGAATAAAGGAGGAACGCTGCATCGCAGCCTTTTCGGACCAAAACCAGTCGACTCAGCGTCCAAAAGACTACAACATACGGGCCAATCGCGGTCATCCGTGCTTTTATAAGAACGAAATGGCGCTTTTAGTGACATTTTGCATACAAATCCCCATCTAGTAGGGCGCAGTCACCCAGTTTCGGTGGAAGTGCGCGAGTTCGATTGGGATTCAAGTAGGAAGGGAGCGTCTCAGCTTTCTCGGACCAAGACCATTCGACTCAGCACCCCAAAGACTACAACTGGTGAAATTTAGATTTTTGCCTTAACTTCCCCTTTAAGATTTACTCCGCCAGGAATGAACCGAATGAAGTCAATGCCAGATTTTGCATAGTTCGGTTGGGTTTAGCATTGATACAGTCATGTCTATCGGACCAGTATCGGTACATGCGCAAGTGCAAAAACCCATTTCGGGCAAGAACCCACCATTAAGGGCACATGGTGTTATATTATGCAGGTATTAGACAGTGATCGAAAAATCTCATACCGTATGGACTCTGGCCGGTAGCCCAGTTCTTTTGTGCAGATGTCCAGCAACTGGGAAATCCTGTGAAAATAGACACAAATCCAGTTGAAATTGTGAACACATGCACACACGTACGTTTGGACATATGACATACGCACATACACACACCGGCACACTATACTAATAATGCGATGAGGGCCATGTCACTGCATAAAAGAGCCCTGGATTTCAGGGGTACATCTGTATCCAAAAATAGAATCTTTTTTGGAAGTGTGAGTTGTATAGCTGGCATTGATGCTGACACTGGAGCCGTTCCTGAGCCGATACACATCATTCATGATCACAGTTGTGACACGTCATTCCATATACAGAGCGGAAGTAGTGATGGCATATCTGCTATTGCCTCGGCTGTTCACGTTGTGTTGGCTGCGTAGGCAATTGATGCTGCTTTGGTTGCATGCTACGGCGCACCTTGAAGCCACCTCTGCTTTGAAATCAAGCCGAACAAGTGGGATACTGGACTACAAAAAAACTGCGCTCCACATTAATGGATAGTCATCACTCTTCCAGGCATTTGTGGCAAGGAAGAAGGGTTTGGAGAAGGCATGTGAGCAAATTTCGTACACATTACACACGATTGCACACAACGCACATGCACAAGAAATGATACTTCATATTGCTCATAATAGGGACATTTCCCCCATTAATCCCTGGCACATCGCATGCAAATGTGTTTGGAATTTTTGAATCACCGAATATTCTATAATCCTGGTCTAGCAAGACCTTACCGAAATGCAAACGACTCCAGCATCGCACGGACAAGATGCTCCCGCTTAGTGTTTGGTTTCAAGCCCAAGACTGAACAGCAGGCCCATTCATCCTTGTATGGAGCCTAAAACACACATGTGCACACATACACACACACACACAGTCGCACACACATGCATGCACGCACACATAAACGTGCATGCACACGCGCACGCACACACACACACGCACACACACACACGTGCACGCACGCACACACACACACACACACACACACACACACACACACACATTGGAAGTAAAATGCACTGAAGACTTCTGTAATTTGAATGACATAACAATTTTATATTTAAACAAGGAAATTGTGGGCACAAGTTATGCGATCGAGTCCACCAACTAAACCACTTGCTGGCAATAAGAGCACAAACTACAAGGGAAAAATCTGGGTATCACTGGATGGATGTAAGGGAGATCGGGATCATGTAGAACACACCTTCAAACAGCTGGTCCAAAAGTGCTCGGAAAACAAAAAGGGTAGGACTGTACTACTGTACTACTGAAGCATATTTTAGGACTCTGCACTGCACTATTAGTCAGTTGGCCTTGGCTAACCAGTACTCTGGCTAAAACAAAGTACGGATATTTATGGCCCTAGGAGGCATGTTATACTGAAAGTTGAGTGTACCTGGTATAAATTGCCTTGACACCTTACCATATTGCAGGACGCAGTTCAGTTTTCATTTTTTTTCACGAAACGAAGCTAGTCTCGACCCACCATCACTACAATTAATGGCAAGTACATGTATGATAACTATGATTTGTTTCGTTTTGTGGGCATCGATACTAGTAAACAAAATGTCTGCAAAATATTGCAGAGGAACTTGAAATGGATTTCTCAGCGGCAGTTTTGAAGGACTATACGGAGAGAGAGAGCTGGTATTCCCGATATTTACCTCTATGCCACTGAAAGCCGGAACAAAACAAGCGCCGTTAGAATCTGCACAACACGAAACAAAGACAGACAGACACATGCTGTACTATAGATACCGTATTGGTTCACTTCCATAAATTGGTCAGGTGGTCTGCCCAGTAGGGAGGAAAGAGAATCATAAGGAATATTCCAAAGATGACTCAACTCGCTAATGACCTGCCCACTGGCCAGGAAGTGGGCGAGGAAAGGCAGACCAGCAATACATACAGATTGTAGCATAGTGCAATCACTATCAAGATTAAACAGCAGGAGCTACATTGTACGTACAAACGAAACAGCTGCTGTGCCACACACACACACACACACACACACACACACACACACACACACACACAAACACACACACACACAAACGAAACAGCTGCTGTGCCACACACACACACACACACACGCACGCACGCACGCACACACGCATGCACACATACATGCACACACACACACACACACACACACACACACACACACACACACACACACACACACACACACACACACACACACACATGCACACACACACACACACACGCACACACACACACACACACACACGCACACACACATATACCTTCAACAGACTTGGCTATATCAGATGTGTCCTTAACATCCTCGAACCAACCTGTAGGGACAGAACAAGACAGAAACAAAGATACTTTGAAGTACATGTAGCAATACAAATTGTAAGAGTTAGCACTGGTTGACTGGGGAGATCTGTTCTAAGAATATTCAACAAAGGGCAAGGAAGGAAGAGTGTATCAGTGGTGGACAGTATCCATTTCAAGCCGGTGGCAGCCCAATCAGATAACATCATCTCTTACCCATTTGTTGAGCCCACTCCACACAGCTACCAGTGCTCGTGGCAGTGCCCTCTGCCATGTACGTCACTTCGTCACCAATGCGCCAGCCAACCACCGGATAGATTCCTGTAAGGACATACAACAACCACCGCCACCAGCAGCATCGACAACAGTAGCGGCAGCAGCAGTGACAGCAGCAGCAGCGACGGCAGCAGCAGCGACAAGAGCAACAGCAGAACTGTCCAGACTCCGAATACATGTGCATGTAACAGAGGGCCCATGGCAGTTCGGGTACCTGCTCACCGTAAGACAAAGGTTACCATCTCAAACACAAGAAAGAACGTATCCCATGTATGGGCGAAGTATAACATCACACACGAGAACCACACACGGAGTCACACACGGAATCATTGCGTTTGCCTTGACACAAAACCGTTGCTAGGGATTACCAGTGGCTGAGGCATGTGGTGCATGTGTGACAACGTCCAGGAAAGAACCAGTGCCAAGCGTGCACTTCACTTGCAGAGGATCCCAGCACATCTGACCAAATGCTGCTGCCTGCTGATCAGCCACCTGCGGGACAAGAGAGAGAGAGAGAGAGAGAGAGAGAGAGAGAGAGAGAGAGAGAGAGAGAGAGAGAGAGAGAGAGAGAGAGAGAGAGAGAGAGAGAGAAGAGAGATAGATAGATAGATAGATAGAGAGAGAGATGAGAGAGAGATGAGAGAGAGATGAGAGAGAGAGAGAGAGAGAGAGAGAGAGACAGAGTGAGTGTGTGTGTGTGTGTGTGTGTGTGTGTGTGTGTGTGTGTGTGTGTGTGAGAGAGAGAGAGATAGAGAGAGAGGGAGAGGGAGAAAGAGACACACACACAAACATTACACACAGCCGGTCACCAACGGGTTAGTCATAAGCTACTGTGCATTTATTCGAAATTTGAACCAGTGCAGAAAGATAACCTGTCTGTTGAGACACAGCCTTTCTGTACACCATGGCGACACAGCGAGTAGGCTGCACAAATGCTATCGTAAGTACACGCCTACTTACGCACGCACTACTCAGTGCAACGGGAATCGCAAGTATTCGACACAAGACTGGCAACCTGTCCTGATTACTGGCAGAAGATTAAAAAAACCCGTTGTGGGATTGAGTGACTTCCAAGCCAAATAGTCCTATCTACATTATCATGTCTGTGAAGCACGATACACGATTCCCACAGCAGAGGTGAATAGTCAGGCGCGTGCCCCGTTTGGGTTCCTGGGTGCCCGGAACCCCCCATTTTTCCGCTCAAAATGCAGGATTTTGCTTCATTTTTTGAAAATTTTTCCGGGGGAGGTCCCCCGAAACCTCCCTTGAAGGGCACCGGCGCACGCGCCTGATAATATAGTCCATAGCACATGATAGCAGAGAGAAAGAAAGAGCTCACCAGACATCACATGCTAAAAAAAGAAGAGTTAAAATGTAGTAAAAATATGACTTACCACACAATGCACTTCGATTGGTCCACCAAATATCGACTCTTCTGATGTACAAATGTGCCCACTAAAGCACCACATTTACACACAAAAAGAGAAGAAAAAACCTACAAAGGCCTGAAGCCCTTCCAGATCCAAAGCCAAGGAACTGAGAAAGTGCATGATCCTTGGAAAACTGAATAGTACATGTACATGTCTTGCACTGCGCAGTGCTATAGGTCTCCGGTACTGGCAAACCAACCGCAGTGCTATAGGTCTCCGGTACTGGCAAACCAACCGCAGTGCTATAGGTCTCCGGTACTGGCAAACCAACCGCAGTGCTATAGGTCTCCGGTACTGGCAAACCAACCGCAGTGCTATAGGTCTCCGGTACTGGCAAACCAACCGCAGTACTATAGATCTCCGGTACTGGCAAACCAACCGCAGTGCTATAGGTCTCCGGTACTGGCAAACCAACCGCAGTGCTATAGGTCTCCGGTACTGGCAAACCAACCGCAGTGCTATAGGTCTCCGGTACTGGCAAACCAACCGCAGTGCTATCGGTCTCCGTACTGGCAAGCCAACCGCAGCACCGCGCAGTGCTATAGGTCTCCGGTACTGGCAAACAAACCGCAGCACCGCACAATCATGATCATGAGAATCCTGGGAACTGCATTCTCAAAATCCACATTCCATTGAAAGGCACACAGAATAAGCAAAGCCCAAATACATACGGGGGGGGGGGGGGGGGGGCTCACAGGGCAGTGTGGAGTGGTACGACTGGGGGTGCCGGTATCCCCAGGGAAAAAAATGGGATTTTTTGGCCAACAGGGCATGTTTTAGCACTCTTTCGTTGCTTTTTGGACGAATTGGGTGTACCATCCTGGACGAAAAGTGGTACGACCATGCCGCACTGGTTGTACCGCGCGTGACGCCCCTGCACACATACATGTACGTGATACTACTATTTCGAACTAACCCTTCCTTAGCAAATTGGGAGAAATTTTAACCGGAAATTTTGGAATTTCAAAACAAAACGTGCCACACTGAATACATAGAGGACTGGATGCATAGATCACTGTATTTCCTGGTACCTTGTGTGAACAACAGTCGGCAAAGCAGTAATCGGCAATCCCATGAGCTGGCAACTGATTGAGCTCCAGCCGAGGGTGAACGGATCGTAAAACGCCGTAGCACTGGCATTGGAGCAGTCTGTTGCAAACACTTTCCCTGGGATGAGAAGCAAAGGAGAGAAGAGAGATAAGTTAAGTCTTCAACACAGAAAACCATTAGTACGGCTATAGCAAGTAAAATCCAACTCATGAATATAACAACTCCGGATCTGCACAGCCTCAGCATCGCAAACATCGGGCTGTGCAGCAAACTCAGCACTGGTATACTGGCGCGGTTGGATTTCACTTGCCGAAACTGTACATAGTTGGCAGCACTGCAGCTTTACCTACAAAACACTATTGGTCATATCAGTGGATTCTTGCAGGTATCATCGACTGAGATGGTGCGACTTTGGCGGCAATAGCTGCACTACTGTGATTGGTGATTGGTTGTCTGGTCTATTGGTAAGCAATGGTGAGATCTTACCATTTGACAATCTCCAAAGCAGGAATGTATCCAGTGTGCCCATCAACAGTTTGTCCTGCTCAGCAAGCTCTTTGATCTGAGTCAAACAAACACATCCAAAAAAAGGAACGGTGAAAGAGGAAAATTAATAGAAGAAGCAAGATGCAAGTAGATGTACTTACAATACATGTACTAGATTGCGAGCGACAGATTATAACAAATGCATAAACATTTGATCGGAGTTTGCTTACATCACCAAAACAATACCAAGCACGGGGTAGTTCCAGAAATAACACAGCAAACATCGGGACCATTTTTAAATCCTGCAAAAAAATGTTCAAAAAATGTTTCTGCTCGGGTTCGAACCGAGGACCTTGTGCGTGTGAAGCACACGTGATAACCACTACACTACAGAAACACTTGCTGAAAGATGAATAAATAAAAGCTCTCTCCAGCTTACCCCAGGCATGTTATTCAACACCCAGTTGGCACGGATGCACATCTACAGAAGATATAGAAGATGCATGCACACGCACACACGCAACACGCACGCACACATCCGTAGTGTCTTGTATTAAAGCCTATTTCAGAAGCCTGATTTTCAAGATACACTGCCCAGCACATAAGCCTGGTTTTAGTGTTGACACACACAGAAATACCTGGGTTGAATAGAAGCCTAGCCCTGACATCGGCTTCTACAGGAATAAACCCGGCTTTAATACGCGACATTACGGTATGCACACATGCACACAAACACACACACAGACACACACACAGACACACACACAGACACACACACACACACACACACACACACAAACACAAACACATAAAGACAGGGCACTTTCTTGACAGATTTCACGGATAAATTACGCTCGTATATTTGCAGAGGTGTCTTGGTATCATTATTCAGAACAGTCGTATCTATACTGTGCACTTGTGGGAGAGATGTGCACTACAAGAATCGGCAGTGATGACTACTGTACATTCTTTTGTACATAAACTACTACACTGCTGTTACTGCAACAGACTTACATGCATGCTCTTGAATTCGATCACAGCGGCCGCGAGAAAACGCTTATCTCTTGTGACAGTGTGTAGAAATCGGCTCCCGGCAGATAGCGTCTATTCCAATACAAAAAGAAGGGAGTGAGAACAGGATTACGTGGGGAAAACAGACGCAAGAAATAAAATGCGTAGCGGGCCAGGATCAATCAGAAACAAAACTACTCTGTTGCCGGGGCTGGGACTTCTACTATACGTAAAGCACCAGAGAGTCCAGCTGTAGGTGAGGTTTAAGAGTAGAGCAAACAAGGGCGACTCTCCCCTAACCAAGGACGGGGGAGAGACACAGGAATTTCTAATCTTTAAACCATGAAGCTGAAAGCGCATCAAGGGGAGTTGTCCAAGGACACTAAAAGGAAGCGCAGCTCTTGTAATCCCCAAACCCATCCAAGCACAAGCACAAGCCCCGAATTAAATTTAGATTCCCACACTGCAGCACAGGCTAAACAGAGGCAGATTGTGAGCCACTTGGACGGCATAGTCAAGAATGTATTAGCCTCTAGCTGAATGCATACGTGTTCTTACCCGGAACATAGAGCCCTTGTTCATAGCTTTTGCTACCTCAGTCGCGCGTGTATCTTGCCAGGAGATAAGAGGATGAAATATTTCACCAGTGTCTCTGAAAACAATGAGAAGAGGAGGACAGAGAGAGAGAGAGAGAGAGAGAGAGAGAGATAGAGAGAGAGAGAGAGAGAGAGAGAGAGAGAGAGAGAGAGAGAGAGAGAGAGAGAGAGACAGAGAGACACAGAGAGAGAGAGGGCGGGGGGGGGGGGGGGTTAGATACAGACAGATAAAGAGAGAGAGAGAGAGACAGAGAGAGAGAGAGAGAGAGACAGACAGAGAGAGGGCGGGTTAGATACAGACAGATAAAGAGATAGATAGACAGAGAGCAACGGTGGTTTATGTTAAGCCACATGGCCTCTTGTGCCTAGAGCCATAGGTCTGAGTGGCAATGAAGAACTAGAGTCAACCTCGTGAATAACCGCACAATCTTCATACCTACATGTTGTGACCATTTGAGTGCATACTTTTAACCTCACGAATAACGACAACTCGATTTTGGACAATAAAATTCTTCAAAATTCCTTAGACTCGTTGTTGTCTGGCCATGTCTGCATCTATTATATTCTTTATTGCACTTAAAAAATTGCTTTTTCCACGCCGACTTTTTAATTACTATCAGTCGGAAACAGGGACAGTTCGTGTAGTTATTGCCCGCTTTTAGAATTTTTGTGAATTCAACATTTGCACTTATTGAACATACATGTACATCAAGTTAGCAAGCATATAATTATTTCCACTAGGCAAAGACGTGGATTTATAAACTGTTGATTAATAGCATCTACATAACTTCTCGTTTTATGTCTAAAAAATGGAAACGTTAGGAGGCAGTTTTGTTTGCCAAATTCATCTTCAGATGTCACTATTTTTGTGATAAGTAAAGCACTGCAGTTTTCAGTACAACTATAGGAAACGTATGTATAGCTGCAGTGCGTCGAGCACCATAACTGGGTACTCAAACACCAGAGTTCTGACTGTTCTCTTTCTGTTTGTGTGTCAATATAGGACCTCAAGGGGTGATGCTGATCCGCCTTAGCGAATTTCAACAGAACATGAAGATACGAATAGCACAACAGGTACGATGGTCATGCTGCAGCATTGCTGTCCTGCATGCACGGTGAAGCGGGGAGTAGTCGATATGTATGGGTGAATTTTCTTCTTGCTTCTTGTTTCAGGAATTCAATCAAATGAGGCTATTGTTGGTGACAAGTTGACAACTCACGCAATCATTGTATTGAGGCTGAGCTGCACCCAGGATGTGACTACTATGCAGGGAACTTGTGCTGTACAGTACATTGCAGTTTCCCCACGGACTCGTTTAGAGCGTGGGACCCAGCATTGCTGGCCTTTGAACGTGCAGTTAACGGTGCGAATCGAATTTTGAACTGCAAAGATCAACTTTCGCCTTCACAGGTAACTTCTTACGTGAAGCGAGCTCCGACAAAGTCAACCAACTCTGGAAAGTATCGTGGGCGCGTCAGGTGGGCCAGGTTTAGTGACTTGGTTTCGAGAATCATTCAGGGGCATGGAGGGACTCTGCACCATGCGTCGAAGAATTGCATGACCGAAGCAGGCAGGAGCCTTGTATGGGACAAACGTTCTGATACTCTTGTAGGCTTCGTTGACAGTGGGTGTTATGCTGATGGTGAAGAGGTGAAGAGGGTGAAGTGGAAGACCTGTTAACTACCCATGTTCTACAGTTCTCCTTCAAGAGCCTCTTTTCTAAATTTTCTTTCCTTGCTGCTACTTCTTCATTAAGTCTATGACGGGTTATCAACTGGAAGATGTAATTGATGGTGGTGTTTCAAGCCTTCACCGGTTTGGGTTTGATGTGCTTGTCCTTTGCTGTGATGGTGGTGGTAGCAATCGTGGTTTCTTGCGTAGCTTTCAGGACACCTCTGGTGCATACTACAACAAGAAATCATTGCACCCTATATTCGTCATATCAGACCCTACACACATTGTAAAGAAGTTCCGAAACAACCTTTCGAAAAGCTTTCACGAGGCACCTGCAAGTTGAAGGATATAGCCTAGTGTGGAAGCAGATTAGGGAGGTGAACGAGAGAGATAGTCAGCGCCAAGTCACAAGTGGGTTTGACAAGAATCACAAAGGAACATGTAAACCTTTCTAGCTACAGCAAAATGCGTCGTGCTGGGCTGGCATTTGATGTCTTCCAGCAGTGTGCCATTGATGAAATGCAGACCAGTGATCCTGCTGGAACGGTAGGAGTACGGAAGTACTTGAAGAACGTTAAAATGTTTGTGGATATATTTTCTTCAAGCACCAAGTTGGTAGACCCATCAGACCCCGCTTGGTGAAACTTGCATCTGCAAGTCAATGGCTGAAGGATTGGAAGAGCAATGCAGGATCTTCTGGCGGCTCCAAGTCTTTCGTTTCTCCTCAGTTACATGAGGATGCGACTTTTGCAGCCCAAGGCTTGCAGAGCCTTGTAACATTCATTGCCACAGAGTTCCATAGCTTGGAACCACCTCTCTATGTAATACCGAAAACCATCAATCAAGACTTCCTTGAAGGGTATTTGGGACTCCAGAGGAGCATTGGTGGTTGCAATAGCAACATGACATGCAAGGCGTATGGGTATAATGGCCGTTGTCTCAATCACACTCATGTTATGGGTAGAAACCTGGGTACGGGTGCAGCTCAAATGCCTCTCAAGCCTCATCATGCAAGGACGGTGGCAACTTCACGCTATAATGTCCCCTAACATCAAAAGCTATCAGCTCTAGCACGTCAAGTTGGAAGGCTGTTGGAGTGCGCACCCGACGTGCTAGAGCTGATAGCCAAGTAGCCCAACAAGTGTCCATTGAACCTCATCTGCAACCCCTGTCAGGTAAGCACCTCCGGTATCGCACAGCCATCGCGGATGACCAGGCTCGGCTTGACGTGGCAGCGAGCGGCATTTGGGGAGGGCGATTCGAACGCACCTTATTTGGTATACGGGTGTTTAACCCTTATGCGTCTTCGAATCGCTCCAAACCACTTGCTGCCTGCTATGTCAAGCATAAGAAGGAGAAGAAGCGGGCGTATGAGCAGCGCATCCAGCACGTCCAGCATGCTTCTTTTGTGTTCTCCACAAGCGGAGGAATGAGCAAATGCGCCTCTGCCCTGTACAAGCGCATTGCTTGCCTACTCTCTGCCAAGTCCACTGAGCGTTACAGCGCAGTCATCGCGCATATCCGCCGCCGTCTAAGCTTTGCTTTGCTGAGATCCTGTATTATGTGTTTGTGTGGAGCAAGGAGCATTTCCTCTCCTGCAGCACCTGCTGTTTCTGCTGAGCTAGTGGTTGCAGAAGCAGGTGTTCTTGCCATTTAATTGCTCACTTGCTACCCTTTGTGATTTTTCTGTCTTCCTGCCAGTTATTTCCTTTCCTCCTTTGCTTCTTTCCTTCCATATTCGCCTTTTATGTTATTGGGCACAACGTTGGACAGTACATTTTACATGCCTGTACATTTTACATGTATTGTACTGCTAAAAAAACAACAACAAAAAACAAAAAAATGAGTACAAATCTAGTAGAAAGGAAAAGGACATATAGATACGAGTCAAGAGTAACTATCCACCACTGTAACTAGATAATATATACAGTCAGAAAGTGCAACAACTACAGTCCATTCACAAAAAGATGGGCCCTGGCTCTGGCGAGCTCCCGTATTAGGCGATTTTTCAAGATTTTATCGTACACAGTGCAGTGCTGTGAAATTTGAAATTTGAAAAAGAGTCCAAAAAGGGTACCTGAACTGGGGTTCGAACCGTACAATGCACTGTTGCAGGCAGGGTCAAACGGCCTGGATTTTGATGGGTTTCCCAATTCAGTGCTCTTGGGGCAAAACCTGGCCGAAATCCTATTCTTGCTATGGCTTGCTTTTTGGAGAAATAGACTTCAGAAACATAATTGGAAGAGGATTCCATAGGGGATTGCAGAAAAAATTTCTAAAAAAACTCAACGTTTGACCCATTTATGGCCAAAAGCTAGAAGTCCATCTTTTTCTGAATGGACTGTAGGCGCAAAACTTACAGAGTACTGAGACATTCGACGTCCTGACACCTAGCTTCAACACATCTCCGTAGCGCTAACCAACAGCCTTCCAACTTGGAAGG